AACAATTACAACATACAATTACAAACAATTACAACATACAATTACAAACAATTACAACATACAATTACAAACAATTACGACATACCATTTAATTTATGCAGCAGCAGTACTCTGCAAAATGAACTAGACTCAATATATGATACATTTATTAACAAAGGTCACTTTGTTAAACATATTGTTGCGTATCTGCTTGTTTGTTAATTTCCCGTAGAAATTCTTTCCAAGAAACTTCAGTGATACAAGTCCTTCCTTAATTAAAACTAGTTTATTCTTTCTCGATAAAACTTTGCAATACACAGAATTTCCACAGTCACTTTAAACTTGACTACTTTTATGAACACACGCTATAAATCACAGTGATTCACACACTTTACTTACGGCTTGACTCGATTATCTCTATCTTCAATCTCTCTATCTATGCCATTCCCTCTCCACTTTATTTGCCAGGCTTTTATACTAAAAAAGAGGGAGCCTGGAACAGACTAGAGTTGCCAGGAAATATCATGATCTTTCTAGAATCTCGTCACGTGTTATCAGCGTCACGTGACTTCCACTGTCATAACAATATTGTCACTAGAACCTTAGTCAACTAAAAAAACAAACTCAATAACAGAAAAAGAAAAGGAAAACAACATAAATTCCATGAAGGAAACTAAATGCACAAACTCAGACACACTAATAGATGTTTTACCATATTATGGTAATGTAACCAAAAACATCACAAGCATTTGGTAAAATGCATCAAAAAATTACAACGTAAAAAGCAAAGAACTAAAATCAAAGTCAGATAAGGAAAGCTTATTATGACAACTTCAACAATGGAAACATCTACAAGTATCAATACAATCAATGCACTAGCACTTAAATAGGCAAAACAGAATGCAACATAAACATTAGGTGAAAGAACATAATAATCCTCCATCACACATGTATGAACACACTACAATAAATCAACATCCAATTATCATTAACAACATCAATAGAAGAAAAATAAATGAAGCTTTAATTATTCACGAACTAAAACCTAATTTAAATCAAAGCACAGGTGTCACCTTTTCTACATTGGAACAAAATACTCTTGCAGTATTTCAAACAATAGATGGCAGTTACCTGATGATGGCCACAAAAAAGGTTGAAACATTGTAATAAAGTTAAACAAAAAAATAAGTTATCCACTCAAAAGCTATATCTCTGGACTTTTATTTATGTAGCATTTAGGTTGAAAGAATTAGCACTGTAATATTCTTTGCTAGCTGGTTAATGTTAAGTGTAACAGCTGACCAATGTCTTAAGAGAACAAAGGTCATGAGGTAATGCTTTTGACTGGACAAAGAAACTTGGTTTACCTACGGGATTCAGGTTCACTTTCTTGGTTCAGTTCAACTAGAACATCGTCAAGTAAAGACTTACTTCAAACTGTTATATCTAAGTGAACAGAAGTTGATCTGAAAAAGAAAGCAAGCTGTACAAGTAAACATATTTTAATAGAAATAACCGTCCTTTCATGTGTGCTAGAATGTATGCTACGTGTTCTATGTGTTCACTGAATAATAAATATTGTTTTCCTTTTTTACCTACTGTCCAGTTTCATTATTTCACAGACAATAGGAAAACTCAAGTAACCAAATTAAGAATTACTCTCCTTATTTCCTGAGCAAATCTGTTCTTACTAGTGGGTCTAGCTATTCATTACTTTTCTGAATATCAGTTTTACCCAAAAATATCACATAAATTAAAAGAATGTAAGTAACTCTCTATGTTTTATAATGTTGGTAATTTTTTGTTATTTAAGTTAATAATTTAATTATTCAACAAAATAAATATTAATCAATAAAAAAAATACTTGTGTGAATATTAATATAACTGCTGTGTTTCTTTTTATCGTAACTACTATATCTGTCATATTCCAGCAACATGATGAACCCTGGTATTGGAAAAAAAGTCTCACTGGCATCACATATGGCAGATATAATGTGGTTGACATATTATTAATTATTCATCTCTTCTTTCTCTTAAGTTCTTATCTCTTCCATTCACTAATTTTTTGACACAGACTTAATGAAGTAAAATTATATTTATAAGGTACAGTGCCATGTATGAAATTTTTGAACATAAAAAACATTCAAAACATTTTGTTTGTTACTAGTTCTTTCAAATTAAGCAAATTAGTATCAAAATTTAAGTCTAGTCCTTAAGTAAAGCAAAACTAAAAGCTTATAAGACTAGTATTATAAAATATGTTTGTACAAGGCATTAGGTAATTAGGTAGAGACATCTGATGCTCAAGTTCACAGCATTCTGACACCTACAAGTGATTACCTACTAAAACAAATTAAGAGTTTAGTTGCCCCAGATCCTTTTTTACACCATATATAAATTGAGTGGTGGTAAGTCTATGCCTAGAATTACATAAAAAAAGAGGCAAAGTGGTATAAGTTAAACACATTTTAAAAGTAGTAGTTCACATGTTATGGTAAACATGAATTAAAATCACTTACACAAAAAATTATTCAAAACATATCTCCAAAAGAAAGGAAAATTTTGTTAAATTAAAAAAGAAAGAAAGCAATAGTGAAAGAAAGGATAAAAGAGAATTAATAAAATGAAAGAATGGCAAAGAAAACAAAATTTGAGTACTGATAAACAACATTTCTAACAGATTAGGGTAAGTACTTTACATAAATCTATAGTGTAGTGTAAAAAAGAAATGACAAATGACTAAATTAAAGGATCATTATTTTTTAACTTTTAGTATTTTAAGAATGCAATTATCAAAATTGAACAGTCTGAACTGGATATATGAGTCAATACAGATCAGGATAAGCATAGAGGTAAGAGATAGAATGAAGACAAATAGGAGAGAAAAAATGGTCACCATCCCGAAAGGTCGAAGGCTGAGGGGAAAAAATGGTCCAGGTAGAGAAGTAAAAAACTGCTGTGGAATAGAGTGCAAGAAGCATCAATAGCACAGATATCTGAATGGCAGGTAACACAGGCAAGAAGGAAATAAGTCATACTTATTGATGCTTTTGGCTCTCCTCTCAACTCCAAGTATTCTCTTTCCTGGTTCCCTGTTCCTCATACTTTAGCTTTGTCTGTTAGTGGTCTCAGCCAGGACTTATCTTTTCCTTTATGCCTAGCCTTTTTTTCTAAGATACTGGCCTCTTGCTCTTTCTGCAGGTGTGTATAGCCAACAACAAAAAGTCCTGGGAGTAGAGAGACCCTACTGTTGACAAAATACAATCCAGCCAAAAAGATGTCACCAGGTTTAAAGCCCCTGATACATGACAAACAACAAGATGAACTCAATGAAAAAGAGCCTAGAAGAGGAGGTCAAATGCCCAAAAATAAAGAGCCCTGGAGCAGATGCCCCATTGATGGGTGATATAAGAAATAACCATGAAATTGTCAGAGTGGATCAAGACCAACTGATTCACCAGAAGAGGTTGGAAGTAAGAACATGTCCAACAAACTGCAAGAATTTTTAGCACATTGATGTGATGTGAAATGAATTATTTTCCTGCACAGCATAGTAATAAGGTAATAAGGGACAAATCAGAAGAAATGTTTTAAGCTAAGATAGTAAAGAGAAGGGAATGAACCTCTCTGGAGCCTGATAAAGGGCCTCTGGCAAAATGTCAAGGGAAGAGAGGAAACTTAACTGGGTGGTGAGAAAACAACAAAGATACAAAAATGGAGAACTAGAAAGTGAAATAGAGGACAAGGGGTCCACTCCCTGAGCAGGCAAAATAAAAAATGGGTGGGTCACGACAAAAGAGTCAAGAATGTCTGGGAGACAAGGTATGTGGGTAGGAGTGAGTTGTTGTTCAAGAAAAGAATCAGCATGAACCCTATATTAGGCAAAGGAGGAAACACAAAGTAATCCCAAAAATTGGGTTTTATGGAGTAAAGAATGGAATAACCAAATTACACAAGCTAACGATAAAGAAAAGAACATACCTGAAAATTTTATTCAAAAAGAAAATGAAAGGTTGAGGATTTTCCATGATTGTTAAGATGGTACCCAAAGCAAATCCAGGTTGGGGAGGGGGATAGTTGATTAAATTCATTGCACTCCTTGTTATCCACAAACTGAGGAGAATGGACATTGGCTGAGGAGATGGAAAACAGAAACCAGTATGTATAAAGGAATCCACAGCACGCTGTAACATCCTCAACAGTCAACGAGCCTCCAAAAGCCATAGTAGAAATAGGTCCTGTGTTCGTAACTCACTTTCACAGGTAAATTAAAATTCACAGTGACTTGAGAAGTTATTATGTTAAACAATGCTTTTAAAACAAAAGCAAAGGCAAAAAGAAAATGTAACTTTCATTGATAATTGGAAATCTCATTAAACTGACCATAGACTAGAAAATTTACACATCTGTTTAAAGTAATGCAGAGGAAAAGAATGAAGTTATTTCAAGTGCAAGTGCTTAAGAGGAGAAGATACTGTGCATGGAAATTGTGTTGTTCTCCTATTGGTGGAGGGTTATTGTTGCATGATGATGTGACAATGCATCAGCTCATTTCATGTCATACTCATAAAATTATTATAGTTAAAACTTGATTAGGTGTTGTAAGTGAAAGTGACATTTATGGAGATGATTTGTAATTTGAGAGAACATATTTGAGTTTACACTTTACAGTAACATTTATCTAGTGCTTTTATTTTATTCTGGATCTAGAGATGTATTAAAGTTTAATTAGATACCTGAATCAATACTAGTGGAGTATATAATTGAGTTCTGTTCTACTATTTGTAGAATTTGAAATTTAACTTACATTAAATCCTCTTTCACAAGTAACTTGAGTAAAATACTGGGTTAAAAGATATTCGTAGGTGAACTACAATGTGGCATAAAGCAGTCTAGTGCATGTTGTACTTGTGCAACAGTTGAGAACTAGAAAACTTAAAATATTATGGAAATACTAAACCAAACTATATAATTTTATAAAGCAGGACTATATGCTTATGTAGAAATTATGTACCAATTTTCATGCAGTTAGGTTAAACATTTTAAGTGTAACAAAACAACAAACAGGTATAACACAATGACATCTTGCAGGCTGGCTAAGCATTACTTAAATATCAAATCATGTGCATGTTGTTTGACAACATCTAGTGAGAGAAAGAGTTTATAGATGTCACCACATAAGTTTAAATGCTACATTAACAGACTTAAAGGCAAGTATGGTTCTATTTTATGTAGTTTACCTGATTTTTACAATAAACATTAATATAAAAATGGTTTTACTGCTTCAAATATTTATATTTGAATAAAAGTTGTTGTTTCTATATCCCAAGCCGAGCACCAATTTTACTTCAGTCAGGGCAATGTACAAAACATCATTTCTTCGTTTATATTATCCAAGTTTTCGAAACACTTCAATATTCAAATTATGAGCAGAGTAACATCTGTGTCTTCTCTGCAACATTGTCTTTACTAGTCAATAAACCTAAATATGATATTAAAAATCAGCTTACACAATGCTATAAGTATAAAGTAATATCATCACTTTTGCTCCTCAGTGATGTCTGAATGTTTATACCAGTGGTATACACCAGAGCTGCGTATAACGCTGCAGCCATTGTTTCAAGGAGAGACTAGTGGATCGATTCTATATTTGAAATTTCATAGCGCTTGCAGGTAGCGTCGTTCCATTTTCCGTCTGTGCAAAGCGTATATTGTGTGTAATTATATAGTTTTGTATATATTGTTTTCGACTTGATTAGGCCTGCCACTGCTACCTGATATATTCCGCTGATTCAATTTGCCGTGATGGCTTGCCGGCTATCCGTGACATATTTGTTTATAATATTGTTATATTTAATATAACACTGTTTTATATGTTCAGTTCAATTGAGTATTAATTTGGAAAGGTTATTAGCTTTTTTGTAAAAATAAAGAAAAGTCTAAAACCAAAGGACGTATTTTCAATGTTTTTCAGAACTGTTTCTCAACAATTTTCAGATTTTCACTACCTAAAAGTATGCAACTACTAAATCAAATTATATGATTTTTTCACTGCGCAAATTAGATTCTATGCAGAGATTACGTACCAAGTTTCATGCAGTTTGACTAAATGTTCTAATAGTGAGAAGGAGAAGAAAAGGTAATCAGTGACACTCTTCTTGTCCAAAAAGGGTTAACTGTTTAAAACGATATCATCTAGGGGTCCAAACCTTTTTGAACAAGGG